TATTATTACATATAAGTCAGAGATAGACTCAGTGGACTGGACACGTTCCTTGTTCTAGTGGTTAAAACTTTGGGGAAGAGACAGAGGATTGCAGTTAGGTCCACCTGGATCTCTGTTTCCTTCAGAGTTCAGTGAAGTTTGGCAATCATTTTGGCGTCAGTTTCCTAATTCATAATAAGGGATGTCAGTATGAAACCAGAAGGTATGTGACAATTGAATGAGTTAATGAGAAGAAAGTTCTTGGCACATTATCCAACACATAATAGGTGTCCTGTAAATTTTCTTCCAATTCAAATGTAAAGTGAGTATCATCTCCACTTGGAGAGATGTTTTGATCCAATAACATTTACTATTCTTCAGAGGATTCAAGTATAGTTCTAACTGCTGCAATGGAAGGTTACTTTAACATTCACTCACAGGAAAAAAAAATGAATCTGGAATTGTTCTTTTTTTAGAAAAATTTTAACATTTACTAATAAATATAACATAACGCTTAAATGTGTTTAAGAATTTCTGTTTAAATCATGCTACACATGTTTGAATTTTAATCATATATCTCCACTGAACATGTATCTTATATCAACTTTTATTTTTCCTACAATTTTAGCCAGTAAGACTACTCTGATATATATGGATATATCAGAAAAAGATTAAATTGATACACAAAATGCTCTATATGTAAAATCAATGAAACCATGGGAAGCTTGTCACAAATGTAAAATGTATATTAAATATGAAATAGCTATTACAACTTAGTTGATGAAAGAAAAAAAAGAAAAAATAGACCATAGTTAATAAACATCTCACATACAGTTTTGAAATATAACTTCAATAGTAAATTAAGTTGTTATTTGATAAACTTATATGAAATACATATCACTGTATTTTTAAAATACAAATTAGGCAATGTTATTAGGTAAATGAACATACGAAATTAATTGGATTGGCTTACTGATTTTTAAAATAAAATGTGATGGCCATTCTATTCATTATTCAAATAAAATAGGTTGGCCACCATTTTATGTATAGTAAAAAATGTTTGGCCATGAAAGTACTCTTAATACAGATATTTAAAAGTAATGCTTTAAAAGAGCACGTAATATAAGAATTCAGACAATAGGTACTAACTGTACATAATTAAGTACACTACTTACTGCTTAGTCAACTATTATTGAGAAAGTTATGGAAGTTAAAGATTCACTTTATTGTTGTAGCATGAAATTTAAACTATAAAGGAAAGAGGCAAGAGGTAATAATGGTGGGGAATTGTCCAATCATCATATGAGTTCAATTTCTTCATTTTAATGAATCAGAAGATTCCCCATGAAGAACTAAAAGTCTTTTAGATGAAAATTAGAGTTCTTAACCCATTGACTTTGACTAAAATTATACAAATATGATCCACAATTGAAAATTTAGTCTTAACCCTTACAGCATGAATTTTAAACCACAAATAATGTAGACAGTTGGATAATTATATAGT